ACGACCAGCAAAAAGATTTTATTCGCAAACATTTCTCCACCTGATTTATTGAAGGATCTACTGAAGCAGCACAGCAACATGGAACTTAGAGAAACTCCGGCAGCTGCTGCCCGTGATGCTGGGATTCGTCGGGAGACATCGTAACAAATACAGCTCTTATAAATACATGTGCAGAAAAACAGTAGTCCCCACACAAACTCAGGATTTACTTGCTGCTCTGTACATTTTGTTGTTGTATGTACTTTCACTCAAGTCCAATTTCAAATGCAGGACTTTTACTTCTAACAGCATTTCTACCCTGTGGCATCAGAACTTTTACTTCTTCCAACACTGGCTGCTGGTGGTGAGCTCGTTTTCAAAGTTCAAACTAACGACCGACCTGTTCAGAGGTTTCACTGACTAACTCGTCGGCCGCTCTGAAAGTCAACACCAGGATTTAACTGAGATGAATTACAGTGAAATGAACTGCATGCAGCAGAGGACTGTGGGATCTAGCTGTTAACAGGTCAGTTGAAGAGACGTTTATTAAAACTGGACTGAATTTAGTGAAAAGGTTGTGATGACATGTTTTTATTTAATAAAGGAAGTCTGAACAGGATCCCAGGTTTAGGACTCTAACGGTTTGACTGACACCTCACCTGTGCGCGTGTGCGTGCGTTACCTCTGTGTACTCAAAGTCCGACAGCGGCGCGATGCTCTTGATGTAGTCCACTCTGAACTGGTTGTCAGGGTTACCCAGAGGCACGGGCGGAGTCAACATACTCATGGCTGACACAATGGTCTGAAACACACACACACACACACACACACACACTCTCTGATTGGCTGCTGTGGCTGTCAATCATCATGCTCTGCAGTAAATCAGTAACAGGTGTTGTAATTGAAGGTGAATCCTGCTGTCTGATGGTCTGGACGATCCATCAGAATCACATGGTATGTGTTCAAGGACATGCACAGAATGAGTGTCAACGAACAGCTCAATAGGTGTAAACTGCTGCGTACAGATACACAAACAGTATACAACAATATTTGTAGACAGTGCTGACATAATATCTGTACATGAGGTAAGTAACAGTTTATTTCTACGTATGATATCAGAACTCAACCTGTTTACACTCGATACCTAACTTAACCAGTTTCAGGTGCTTCAACTAATCACTAGTCATGTGACCTACCACTATGGCATCCTTCACGTTCTTCCTGATGTCTTGCATCTTCAGCTGCTTCTCTCTGGAAAACAAATACTTTATTAAATACACAAGCATCCTAGATTCAACCACAACTGCAGCCTTACGCCCATCGATAATCAAGGAGCATATCCACAGTGGAGCAGCTGAACGTCAAATATTTAACCTCTGACACTTTGGATTTAAAAAATATTTGACATTAGACTATGAGACTTTACACAGCAGGAAGTAGAGCCACACTGGCGCAGAGGGGGAGATTTCAAACAAAAGTAGATCAAGTCAGTGTGTATTTTATTGTGAAGGGTTCAAAATCTTACTCACTCAGCGTTGAAACCGTCCACATGGAGAATCCTCATCTGCTTCACAATCGTGCTTTTACCAGATTCTCCTGCACCTGGAGACAGACAGGGGAGACAGATGAGACAAACAAACAGGCTGACGAGACAGACAGGCGAGACAGACGGACAGACTCACCCAGCAGTAACAGTCTGTGTGTTGCTTTATAAGCCTGTCTCTCCTTCTGCAGCTGTCTCTCGATCTTCTTGTTGGCTTCTCTCTTCGCTTTATCCTCCAGTCGTTCTTCCTCCGTCTTCCCTCCCAGACAGCCCATCTCAACTGGAACCACAGAAACCACAGATCAACCCCCACAAACCAGTGATCCACATGCAGACACCAGCGACCAACCCGAGGCTCTGGAACAGCCTGCCCGAGTAAATCAGGTCGGCTGAGTCAGTGAACTCTTAAGTCCCTTCTTAAAACATACTTTTATAGGAGAGCCTTTCCTGATCTTATTTGACTTTATTTTATCCCTTTTATTTTATTCTATTTTACTAATTTTATATTTATCTTAAACGTGTATTTTAGTCTTTTCAATGTTTTCTTGCTTTTATCATGTATTGTTTGTGTTATTGTCTTTTGGGTATTATTGTCTTTACACTTGTTAAAGCACTTTGTAACTTGTTTTTAAAAAGTGCTCTACAAGATTGTTATTACCACCAGCGACCAATCCCGAGCGACAAAACCGCAGACGACACCAGCGACCAACCACCAGTGTCCAACCCCCAGACGACACCAGCGACCCACCACCAGCAACCAGCCACCAGCATCCAACCCCCAGACACCACCAGCGACCAACCCGCAGACACCAACCCCCAGAAACCAGCGACCAACCACCAGCGACCAACCCCCAGACACCAGCGACCAACCCCAGACGACACCAGCGACCCACCACCAGACGACACCAGCGACCCACCACCAGCAACCTGACACCAGCGACCAACCCCCAGACACCAGCGACCCACCACCAGCAACCTGACACCAGCGACCAACCCCAGACACCAGCGACCAACCCCCAGACACCAGCGACCAACCCCCAGACACCAGCGACCAACCCCCAGACGACACCAGCGACCAACCCCCAGACGACACCAGCGACCCACCACCAGCAACCTGACACCAGCGACCCACCACCAGCAACCTGACACCAGCGACCCACCACCAGCAACCAGACACAGCGACCAACCCCCAGACACCACCAGACACCAACCCGCAGACACCACCAGCGACCAACCCCCAGACACCAACCCGCACCAGCACCAACCCCAGACACCAGCGACCAACCCCAGACCACCAGCGACCAACCCGCAGACACCAACCCGCAGACACCACCAGCGACCAACCCCCAGACGACACCAGCGACCAACCCGCAGACACCAACCCGCAGACACCACCAGCGACCAACCCCCAGACGACACCAGCGACCAACCACCAGCGACCAACCCGCAGACACCAGCGACCAACCCCCAGACGACACCAGCGACCAACCCCCAGACGACACCAGCGACCAACCACCAGCGACCAACCCGCAGACACCACCAGACACCAATCCCCAGACACCACCATGGACCAACCCGCACACACCAACCCCCAGACACCACCATGGACCAACCCGCAGACACCGACCCCCAGACACCACCAGCGACCAACCCGCACACACCGACCCCCAGACACCACCAGCGACCAACCCGCACACACCGACCCCCAGACACCAGCGACCAACCCCCAGACGACACCAGCAACCCACCACCAGCGTCCAACCTATAGTTCACCTAATAAACACACTTCAAACTCAAGCTTGACGTTAGCAATAATCTTTGAAACTTATTAAAATTAATCACTGAAAAAGGAAATTACACCACATACATTTACATGTCTAAACATTTCCAGTCGTTATCTTTAGATTTTGACTTGTACGTTGTAATTACTTGATTTGAATCATGAATTTATTAATTCATCTGTAGTGTTTCAGAAAAAGAAACCATAGACATGAAGGAAAGAAGAAAAGTCCTCAGAGGAGCAGAACAGGAGCCAGTTTAAGGTTTTAGGAATGAAAGAGGAGATTCAAGCTCAGAACAAACGGTCCTGAATCTGATCAGAGAAAAGATTCAAAACAGAAAACCCAATGTCCAACGTGTTACTGATGATACCTGGCTAGTATCGTTTCATCATCGCAGTACTTCTACTTTGATGTGAATCTTCTTCCAGCGCTCCTGAAACCAAGGAACCACTTTCTCAGAACCTAACCAGCCGGTCCCAGGGCTGTCCTGGTTGGACCCACCTGTAGCTGATGGAGATCACTGAGCCGTCGTGTCTCAGCAGGTCCAGATCAGATCGTCTTTCTGTCTGTCCATGAAAGTCCAGGTGAAGAAAAAGAACAGCTCCTCAACCAATCAGCTCCCTCGTCTGTCCTCCAGCAGTCCCGTTCAGGTCCAGTTCAAGGGGGCAGAACCAGGTCTACTGCTGGTTTTCTGATGTTTTGTCTTCCCTGTGATGTTTTGACAATGAGAGAAACACCTGAACTGCTCTCTCTCCCTCTCTACCTGCCCCCCTCCCCCCCAGGTCTCTAATAGCGCCTCATTAGTCTCGCTCTTTTCTTTGGGGAATGTTTCTGTTTTTCCTCTCTTGTCACTTTGCTGCCTGACAACCAGCAGCCAGATTCACAAACACAAACTCCCCTGGAGGTTTTCTCATGGTCTCAGTCTTGGACTCTGTTAGACCAGAACTGGGTCTGGACCAGCACACAGGAGGTCAGGAGACACTGAAGTAACAGAACCCTTTACTGCTGGACAACACACTCACACGATAAGCTGCTCAGATTTGTCCCTCAGCTCCTCAGAATGACTCATAGTTCAACACATTACATGGAGTAAATGGAGATCAGAGGAAGTGTCCCTGGGTAAAGACACTGAAATGCTCCTGAATGAGTTTGTGGAAATGTCTGAGTGTTTGTTGTACACTAGTATTACTTTATTATAAGTACATTTCTCTCCGTCTGTCCCCACGATGGCAGCCTGCAGGTAGCAGCATCTCCTTCCCTTTCTCTCTCTCCCCCCCCCCCATCAGATGGACATGACTCATGAACTTTCATCTTTATAAGTATTTGTTAGTTTGATATTTATTTTAATGTATATTTTAAACGCTTTATTTTGTATATAAATGATAAATTCTTGTGCGTCTGCACTCACTTTTGTTTCCCCCGTGTGGGATAAATAAAGTTTCTTAACTTGTTGTTACTGAATTTTACATATTTCACTGTTTTCCCCTAAATGTTCCGTTTCATAATGTTTCCATTCTTCCTGATGTATTTTCCGCATGCTGTCCACACACTATACTGTATCCAGGACATTAAATACATGTGTAAGGGTCTGTTGCATTTGTCTCCACCTTGTGGCCCCTTTAAGTCACTGCACGGTCACAGTCAGCAGTCATGGTAAGAAGCTGCTGCTGCAGTCAACGGTTCTGTGGAGGTAAAACTGGTTTTCAAGTCAACTTTGCTTTATTAGTTTTTCTGCCTTCAGAGAAGAAATTGACTATTTAACTCAAGACACAAAAACAAAACTATTCTCCTCCTTCAGTGGCCGGACGGCCCAGACTCTCCACCTTCCAAAGACTTCAACCTGAGGCGGGAAAAAACAAAACAGATTTACAAGGTTTGAGTAGGTCTAAACCAGACCCAACCCTGACAGTCTAAACTGAGGGTTTAACAAGAAGGATTAATGGGTTCTAACCAGATCCAAACCAGACCTAACCCGGTCTCAGATCAGACTGACCTCTGCAGATGTTCGTCGCAGAAGGAGCCCAGTCGCTGCATCTCTGACTGGATAAAATTCTGAAGGACACAGAGGGACACAGTCAGTGACTGGAACAGGTCTGAGGTTTAGACCTGCTCTAATGCATTACAACTTTACTTCTTAGAAAGATTAGAACGTTCTTCTTGAGCCACAGCTGCCTCTGGGACTCTCCGGTCAGAGTCTGTTCCAGACGATTCTTCTTTTCTGGAAACTTTTTCTTTCAGTTGTGACTTTGTACTCAAAATATTCCAACTTGGTCTAAATATTTAAAATGTGAGATGCCGCCTTGTATGGAGTCCTGACATGCTGGGTGACCAATAGGAGCACAGAGCTCTTTCAAAACATCGCCATTTTGAAACTACGTTATTAAATCATGCTAATGTTAGCTAAGAAGTTAGCTATAAAATACTAATAGATACCCGTTAGCTAGCCAACTCAGCAAGTATTCAAAACGCCAACATATTTAAATATTTTATAAATACATGCATTTGTGGATTTCTACCACCTTTTATTAAAACCTGAAATATTTGTGTGCATCAGAAACACATTTGTGGACCTTAGATCATGTACAGCGATAATGTTTTTGTGGAGAGTCATTTACATATAATCTAAAATGCATTAGTGAATCCTTCTGTGAGACTGATCCGACTCCGTGGTAGTACATTAGTAGTATTACTGCAGTTTCTTCCAGTACCAGGATCTGTGTGTTTATGGCATTCAGGCTGGTTGAGTTTTCTTGCAGTCGGTTCAGCTGATCAGTGACGCTGTTCTCGAACGTCTGCAGCAACACACACCTACACACACACACACACACACACACAAACACTTTAATTACTATACAGTATTTTATTTAGCAACAAAAGATTTAAGTTAGATTTTTCATCAGTGTTCTCCGTGTTTGACTGGTTCAACACCTGTGTGGGTGGAGCTATAAAATAATTCACTCTTCAGGTCCAGCAGACACTCGGAGAGTCACAGCTGGTACACGTTGGTACTTGTTTCTCTGACTAAACACATTTGTATGCAACTGTGTGTTTATGTATGTAGCTGGGTGGTTGCTAAAATGCATTTCTCAATCACCATTATTATAATGCTGTACAAACATTATGTTTTGTGAGAGTATGCTACAAGTCAAACAGAATGAAAGTATTTTTACTTTGGCTCTTATTCTTTCCTTACTCTTTGCTCTGACATGAAGTATATCTACAGTCAGCATATAACAAAGGGTAATTACATAAATACATTGCTAAGCCACTAAAAAGGGTTGCTTAAGTGTTTATTGTGATTATTATTTTAAATGTACTCAAAATGCTTGCAAATTCGAAAATGTTGTTCAAACTAGCTAACCCATGCCCCACTCTCTGACAGACTCTGGTCAGGGTGCTAATGGCACCGTTGGGACGGAGCCTGGCCCGGGTACCTTGGGGGGTTCTGAGCCGCACACAGGACCAGAGCCCGTGGTGATCAGGAAAGACTCACATCAAGAGACTCCCTGTAGCCCAGAACTAGGCACTGAAGCCACAAAGACAGCCGTCTTGTTGCAGTTCTACAGTCGAGGTGTGCACTGCAGATCTACAAACAGAGAGAAAAGAGTGGGGTCCTCCCTGTCTATTTCTTTAAGTTTATGACCCTAGGGTTCTGTGCAAACTGGGGCTTATGGAAAATAACTAAGTTTCTCTTTGGGTGGCAGGTGTGTGAGTGGGCGGTACCTGTGTTTGTGGACCGTACCTGTGTGAGTGGGCGGTACCGGTGTTTGTGGACGGTACCTGTGTTTGTGGACCGGTGTGTGTGAGTGGGCGGTACCTGTGTTTGTGGACGGTACCTGTGTTTGTGGACCGGTGTGTGTGAGTGGGCGGTACCTTTGTTTGTGGACAGAGGTCAGCAGTGAAGAGACACGTTGCTGACACTCTCTTAGAGACTGAAGAACTTCAGTTTCGACGTTCTGCCAGATGCCCTGAAAATAATTTAATTACTTTTAGTTGACCGGCCGTGGCACTTCTTGATCAGCCACACAACCAGTCAATAATCAGATTGTAACTGTGCGTGTACTGACAGTGAAGTGTTGTTCTAGTTGTGTTCTGAAGGTGTTGAAGGCAGCTGTGATGCTGGTGGTTAGGCCTGACTCCACCCCTGCATCCATCACAGGCCCCTCCTTCTCAACATGTGGTTCAGCCCCTTCATCAGGCAGCCCTGCCTCCTCCTCTGGTGGCTCCGGCCCCTCAGGTGACCCCTCTGAGACCAGCGGCGAGTTCAATCTCTTTGTCGGCGCTGAACCCGCCCCAGGTGAGCGGCAGATTTATAAAACAATTCAGGTTCAGATAAAAATTTAAGGCTCAAGACTTCTACTACCTGTCAGGAATGAGTTTGACTCCTCCCCCTCTGGCTGAGGCTCCGCACCCCTTTTGTGGGCCAAAGGGCCCTCAGTTTGGTCTGACAGGTAGCCTTCACATAGAGAAACAAAACTTTAATTATTCCCTCCATTTCTGCCAGGAACAGAATGAACAGATGAAATCTTAAGATTGACAAAATTAAAATTTTACTTTGAAGCATTTGTCATCATTTTGAATTGCCATCAGTTTATTTGATTTACTTACTGTTCGTTCAGGATCATGTGGCAGTGGTACAATAATAAAGGCCTTAGTCTTTAACTGGTGTGCAATGCTGATCCCAGGTCAAGAAAATACAAACTTCCTTCTTTTATTTGCTGGGGGGGTGATGTCTGTTTGCAACGGCATAGTCTATCGACCCAACACTAATCTATAATCGACTACTTAAACCTGTGTCTGTTTAAGTAAAAGGATTCTCTCCTGTGTTATTCTGTTTTTATCATTGAACTTCTCAAATTTCCATAGTTCTGGATCATTGAATTAGTGAATTTATGTTTTCAATAATGGAGGGAAGAAACAACCATTATAATCAACCCAAACTACTAGAATGATGAACAGAAGAAGAAGAGCCTCTGACTGAGTTCTGTGAGTTCAATTAGTCTAACGAGGAAGATCAAACTGTTCATAAAGACCTGAGTCTGGAGCGGATCTCTTCCTTTCAGAACTGAAGACTTCCTGCAAACAGAAAACAGATGAACAGATGAGAACAGGTGATAGGCGGGAGACAACAGATGATAGGCGGGAGACAACAGGGAGAGAACAGGTGATAGGCGGGAGACAACAGGTGATGTTTTTTACAGAAGAATAAAAACAGGAAACAAACCTTTTTTTTAGGAGAGCTGCCTCCTCCAAAGTCATCTGTCTGCTCCTGAGAGATTTGTAGCTCCGCCCCCACAGGATCACCTGAGAGAGACCCATTCAGAGCACTGACCTTCACCAAGTTTCTCTGTAACTGATCCAGACTCGATGCAGCCTGTAGGCCAGTGTTCACTGTCCTCCGGCTGTCTCTCAGCTTCATTAGCTCACCGCTAATGCTAACAACGTTTCCTTCACAATCCAAAAACATCTGGATCTTTACCCGGTAGGTCCGTTCATTAGGGGTCACGCCCCACACGGGCCCCACCCCCAGATGACAGACAGAGGGTGTAATTCTTCTTGTTCATTAGACCCACCTGAGTTTAGATGGGAGCAGTTTGGAGAGTCTGTGGGGTGTGAAGGCGTGGAGTATCGGATCTGGTCAAACAGAAGCTCGGCCGTCTTTCTGGCTGGAGTCTGAAACAGAGAACAGCTTCCTGTTGAACGTCTTCACACTCTTTCACTCCATCGTCCACAGTGTGTTCACAGAGCAGCTACCTTCATCACAGAGGAGTCTTCTTCACTGCTCGCAGATGACAGAGGCAAGACTGGAGACAGACACACAGAGAATCAACAGACAGAAGATTCTTCAGTACCATCATCATCTCCACACCGCCGGGAAACACAAAGTACAGGTCCTGTGGACTCCTTCCGCTTCCTGGGCACCATCATCTCCCAGGACCTCAAGTGGGAGCTGAACATCACCTCCCTCACCAAGAAGGCCCAGCAGAGGATGTACTTCCTGCGGCAGCTGAAGAAGTTCAGCCTGCCAAAGACAATGATGGTGCACTTCTACACCACCATCATTGAGTCCATCCTCACCTCCTCCATCACCATCTGGTACGCTGCTGCCACTGCCAGGGACAAGGGCAGGCTGCAGCGCATCGTTCGCTCTGCAGAGAAGGTGATTGGCTGTAATCTTCCTTCTCTTCTGGACCTGTACCGATTCTGAGATCCTCGCTGCATTGCATGCGTGGCCCCAGCCCCTTGGGGCTTGGCCACTAATTACATTTTATTTATGAAGCTCCCAGAGACAGCTGGACCATCACAGTTACAATACAGAAAAAGAACAAAATCATCAACCAGACTCCATTTATAAAATCCAGGACTCTGAGGCGAGCAGGAAAGATTGTGGCCGACCCCTCCCACCCCAGACACAGACTGTTTCAGACTCTCCACTTGTGGTTGGAAACCTGCTGAGCAGTAAAGCTGATTCTGATGTTGGTCATTTATTATTAAATTCAGTCTGTTGGCTTTATTCCAGATTTCAAAGTGAATGTCGGAGGAGCTCATTCTATTTGTGACGACTTTAGAATAATTATAATCTAAGGACAGACTCACTCTTCAGCTGACTCTTGCTCTGTGGTTTCTTCCTGCTGTAGGATCTAACAGTCTGCCTGGCTGCTGAGGGGGACACCTGGACCGTCCCACCTGGGTCTTTAAGGCGGGGGGAACTTTTTACTTTCTGTTTATACAGAGAAGGAGAACAGAGGCAGCAGTCAGACCACCGAACCATTATGGGCGGGCGGGCAGATAGGCGGACAGGTACCATGAAGACTCTCCCAGCAGCCTCCTCCAGCTCTCGGTGGTGTTCAGAGTCAAAGTTCAGCTCCACTGTCTGACCTCTGCAGTTGTGGTGCATGATGGGATTGTTGAGCCGGACCCTGAGGACTGTCTCTGCCCCAGTGCATCCTGGGAAACATACACACACACAGTATTACTGTCCAGATGTTCAGCAGGAGAAACACCTGCAGGGACTGAACGCAGAAGAGAAGCGTTTTTACCGTCACGTTTCACCTGGAGACTGTAATGATCCACGTCCTCCCTCAGCAGGTGGATGGACCCCCACAGGAAACCCTGAGACACAGGAAGACGTCAGGACACAAAGCAGTCTCCGTCCCTGATGGTGGAATGAGCTACCACACGCCATCAGAGCAGGGGCGTCCCTCTCCAACTTCAAGAAGCTCCTGAAAACTCTGCAGAGAACACTTCCTCTGATAACACCTCAAACATGCACTTCCTGCGCTCTTCTGGCCGTCAGAGGAACTGCACTTCAACACAGTTCAACCCGAAGCCTCAGAGTCACGCACGCTCTCTTTATAAACACAAATAAATAGCTACAGCTGTGGACAGAAAACCACGCCAGTCCAGCATGCAGCAGCTGGCCAGTCGTAAACATCTACACTGAACAGGAGTTTGAATTAAGGTTGTAAGGAACAAAGTCTTTTACTGCTCAGCTGTCACCTATTCCTTTAATCGTCTGGTTTATTTACCTGTTTACTACTTACTCTTTCACTCGAACATTCAGTGTCAAGTCATCTCTGTAGTAGACGACTGTAATATTACTACACCTGTGCAGTACCTGAGGCTCATCGATGAAGAAGCTCACACATCCTGAGCCGGCGTTGAAATCTATCCAGAACTCGTCTAGTTTGTCGTCTTTAGGACGAAACAGCTGCAGAAGAAGAAGAAGAGGAGGAGGTCTGGAGTCTGCAGAGATCTACTGTGTATCATAAAGGCTCGGGTGTTTTACCTGTGTGGAGTCAAGGAAAGCTCGCAGGCAGGGGAAGGTGTAGACCCTGACAGACAGAACGCAGGGACAAAAATCACATACAGCTTTCACCTTCATCCCTTATGTTCAGGTCAAATGGGGGGGGGGGGGCACCTCTGCTGGTGTCCATGGTGACTGTTCACAAAGTTCAGGAACCGGCGACAGTCCTGGGGGGGGGGGGGGACAGAAAGATTTTTAACACCAACATTTACAATATGTCCTGTACAAAGAACAACGTACTATATCACATTAATACCTTTGCGTTTACATGTGTATCAAAAGTTTAGATCAGCACATCTCTGAACTTAACTCCCCCTCTGTCGCAGAGCGCCGCCGCCCCCCCCACCACACTCAAACACACACACACACACACCAGCTCAAAAGTATCCAGGTCATGTGCAGCTCTGTAAAAACTGAACTCTAACTCTGAACCATTTTCTCAAAAACAAGAACCACATCAACATCTAACCCTTCCTCCACCTTCCGTCTCCGGGTCATATACACCACCGTCTTTGTTGTTCAATAGCTGACATTTGTTCTTCTTCCGGAGTATCTAAAACCACAAATTAAAAAAAATCTGCTTCGTAAAAACTTCTCCGCATCTACTGAAAATGTTTTCCAACAAATCTGTCAGACGAATGCACTCTGAGAAGCAGTGAAACACTGTCTGTCTCTCACTGCAGAAGGGACATTTGTCTTCTACAGCAGCGTTAATAACAGATGAACGAGTTCACCAATACAACGCCATGAAGGACTCTCCACTGCAGGTCTGCCTTTTTCTGTGTACAAAGACCTCCAGGCTGGTTTAAAGTCAGGATCTAAGTCCAGAAAAACCCTCCACGGGACGTCACTACGTCCACTCAGTGTTCTCTGATTCACAGTTTTCACCATCAGTTTACAGAGAATCTTTCCTGAGGCGTCCCCCAAAGAAGCACCTACAGGGTCCACAGGCTTCGGTAGAAAACCAGAACAGTTCTTAAAACCAGGAGAAAGCCTGGTGGCAGGATACAGATCAGATCTGTTAAAGAGAGCACTCGCGCTCTGTCAGCTTCTGTTTCCAGTGTACCAGACTCGTGATTCTTGTAGACCTTAACCCAAGCCGATCAGCCAGTCCAACAGGGACTTCCAACCGAGGCCCAGCTAGCTCCACCACCTTCCCCAGAGTAGAAACCTGCAGTGTGAAGCTGTCTGGATAGCGTAAGTCCCCCCCAGTTAGGACAGTCCAACAGTCCTCCAAACAGCACAGGCTCTGGTAGGAGCCGGTACAGAGAGTCAACCTGCTGCTGCCTCAGCAAAGTCCACGCTGAGAAAACACTCCTGTAAACAGCTGCTAGAGATGGTCTCTCAGAAACAGATAGACCACGCTGCAGGATGCAGGTCTCCAGATCAGGTCTGCTGGCCCAGTGAGCAGTCTCTGAATGGACTGAGGACGGAAGGCAGCGCCTTGCTGGCCAGATGGACTAGACCACCCTCTTCCTTAGGAAGGAAAAGGACACTCCAATGCAACCTGTCCCAGAAGAAATCAACTAAAACCCTTTGGATCTGTACCAGAAGAGAAGCTGGGGGATCAATGCAAGCCAACCGGGGCCACAGAGCAGAAGAGACCAGATTATTGATCACAAGAGTGCGACCTCTGCAGGACATTTTAGGTAAGAGCCATTTCAGGAGCCAACCTTTAACTTTTTCCAGGGCATCGTCCCAGTTTTTCGGTTCCCAGAAAACTCCCAGATATTTCAGTCCCCCCCCCCACCAAACCTCCAGGTAACCTGAGCCGACACCTCAGCCTCTCCCCCACCATGACAGCCTCACTCTTCCCCCAGTTTACTTTTGTAGAGGATATGCAGCCAAACAGATTCACCAACATATCAACGTCTTTCTGTGTGTTTGTATCAGCACAGGAAAACCTGTATGGCAAAAGTAAAATGCCTGTCGCACCTTCGACAATGCCACCAGGCCAGCTGCAGGGTCATCAGCTGGGAGCCACCCTTCATTGATGTTTCGCTCCATTATTCCTGGAACATCTTGGGATGGTGGAGCAACGGCAGGGACGTCTCCCTGCCGCCCCCTGCAACTGACCCTAGTATGCTTAAGACTCTTGCCTACCCCACACATAATTTTTCCTCCTCAACCAAAGCCAGAAACTCCCTTTCTCCGTTTCCTCAGCCAGCTCCTTTATGGTCTTCCTCAACTTAGCCCCAATTATGCCCATGGACTTTAGGAAGCGCTGGGTAGATGATCCCACAAAGCCTCTGCAGCCAACTTCCACAGGAAAGGTGGCTGTCCTCCACCCAACTTCTCTGCACTGTTAACCAACACTATGACATCATCAGCGTACGACAGCAACAGTTTGGAAAACAAAACTCCACTCAGATTGTTTCTCAGTTTATGGAGCAGAGGCTCGATGACCAGAGAACAGAGGGCAGCCCGGTGTGACCCCCCTCTGAATAGTGAAAGGAGCTCTCAGACCCCAATTCATTTTTAGAACAACTGCAGTGTCACTACACAGAACCTGGATCTGGGCTATAAAGCGAGATCCTGGAGTTCAACCCGGGTCTGCAGCCAATGAGCTAGAGACCTCCAAAACATCACACATTAAAGTGACACTGCCAGCCACACAGTATGTCTGATCAGCGTGGATAACAGCAGCCGTCACCTCTGGAAGCCTGGGGGCCAAGACCCGGGACAGTATGTTATGGTCTGTGCAGAGCAGGGAAACCGGTCTCCAGGTCTTCAGCTCTTGCAGGTCTCCCTTCTTGGGCAGCAAAGTGATGAGCGCCCTCCTGCAGCTCAGAGGCAGCCGACCTCTCTCCAGGCTGTCTGCGACAACCTCCAACAAGTCTTCACCCAACACAGACCAGCAGGACCGACCGTCCGGGCCAGGAGCCCTGCCACCCTGAGAACCCATCAGCGTAAAGTTCATCAAGGGAAACACGAGCCTCCAACTTCACCCTGGCCTCAGCGTCCACCTGAGGAAGAGCAGTGAAGAAGCTGCTGCACACACCTGTCAGCTAATTTCCTAATCTCAGAGGAGTCTGAGAGCGCAGAGCCACTGTCAGGTCGCAGGGAGGGAACAAGTTTTCCTCTCCAAACCAAAAAAAGATCTGAGAGGGGGTGTCCGTCTGCGTGACGTCCAGGAAGCGTGACCTGACCAGAACTCCCTGTGCTGCGGCGCCCAGCAGGATGGCCAGAGCCGCCTTTTTAGATTTAAGCGGTCTAAAAGAATCTACCAAACCCTGCAGTTCCACCAGCTGAGCCTCCAGGTTCTTGATGATTCCTGTCAAGCTTTGGATTTTCAGTACATTTAAAATCACCTCCTAAAAACAAATCCTCATCACTGTTACAGTTCTGGATGGTGTCACACAGAACATTAAGCACCGCTAACCTGTCTGCTCCACTGGTTGGTGCATAAACATTAACAAACAACATTTTCAAATTGAGCTTCAAACTTCAACAAACAGCCTCAATAATTTCCTCTGCTTTGTAGGAAGAAGGTACAAAGCTCACAATTCCCACTACAGCTGGACTTATGGCTCAGAATGACTTCATTATCTGCACTACTGTGTGTTTCCTGAATCAACAGAACATCTATGTTCTTCAGCTCCATCAGCTTAAAAACAGCAGTTATTTTACAATCGTCCCTCCTATTAGATTCAAAGTGCCTCTGCTGAAATCACACATGGAGAAAAAGAAGAGAACAAGAGGAAACAAAAAAAGAGAAACGTTTTTGTTTAAACATCAGCAGCTATTTGTGCTTTTACTCTGAGTCCCAGTTTCTTTAAATGATAGACTTCCTGCTCGGTTAGAACATCTACAAAGTTTTCCAACGAAGGTTAAAATGAAGGGCAACTGGACTTGGTTGAAGCTACTGGAAGACGTTTCGTCCCTTATCCAAAGGACTTCTTCAGTTCTGACTGACTGGCAGGGAAACTCAGCTATTTAACCTCAGTGGGGTCGTTATCTCGGGTCATCGATACCGCTGGTTCGTTAGTGTTCCTTGTTGCTGTGACGACAGTCGTTACAGTCGTTGAGACTACCTGTGGCCAAGACTGAACGACCATCGTTGGTATCTTCACCTGAGGCCAATAGGTTACGTTTGTTGAGTTTCCTGGGAAGTGATGAAAGGACAGCATTGTAAGTGGGGGATAAGTGGTGGCGTAGACCCCCTCCCCTGTTCAATGACGGCTTCTCCACCCTGGTGTAGATGGCTTCCTTGACACCTCTTTCAAACCATCCATCTTCTCTGTCTAAAATGTGCACCTGGTGGTCCTCAAACGAGTGTCCTCTGTCCTTCAGATGTAAGTAGACTGCAGAGTCTTGACCTGAGGAGTTGGCCCTTCTGTGTTGAGCCATGCGTTTGTGTAGTGGTTGTTTAGTCTCCCCAATATACAGGTCTGTGCATTCCTCACTGCATTGGACCGCATACACTAGATTGCTTTTCTTGTGTTTGGGTGTGCGGTCTTTGGGGTGGACCAGCATCTGTCTTAGTGTGTTCTTGGGTTTAAAAAACACAGGGATGTTATGTTTGTTAAAAATCCTCCTGAGTTTCTCTGATACTCCAGACACGTATGGAATCACAATGTTGTTGCGTTTGACCTTCTTTTCCTCCCCTGTAGTTTTGTTCTTCTTGGATTTTGTGGCTGTTTTCACAAAAGCCCATTTAGGGTATCCACAGGCTGTAAGTGCCCCCTTCAGGTGGTTCTTTTCCTTCTCTCTGGCTTGGGCGCTTGTTGGTATGTTTTCCGCTCTGTGGTGCAGTGTTCTCATGACCCCTAGCTTGTGCTCCAGTGGGTGGTGTGAATCGAAGAGTAGGTATTGGTCTGTGTGTGTGGGTTTTCTGTAAACACCAATCTGCAGGCTCCTGTCCTCTTCAATGTGTACAGCGCAGTCCAGGAAGGCCAAACTGTTGTTGTGAACATCTTCTCGTGTGAACTTGATGTTACTGTCCACAGAGTTGATGTGTTCTGTGAAGGCTTGCACTTCCTGGCTTTTGATTTTGACCCAGGTGTCGTCCACATATCTGTACCAGTGGCTCGGTGCTGTTCCTCTGAAGGAGTTGAGGGCTTTATTCTCCACTTCTTCCATGTAGATGTTGGCCACAATCGGGGATACCGGTGAGCCCATGGCACAGCCATGCTTCTGTCTGTAGAATCCACCGTTGTACTGGAAATAGGTGGTGTTTAGACAGAGGTCGAGTAATTTGCAGATTTGGTCAGGGCTGAGGCTAGTTCTGTTGTCCAGGGTGTTGTCTTGTGTTAGCCGTTTCCTAACGGTTTCTACTGCCTCTATGGTGGGGATGCAGGTGAACAAAGAAGTCACGTCATAGGATACCATGGTTTTATCTGGATCCAGTTTTAGTCCTCGAACTTTGTTTACAAAGTCAATAGAGTTTTGGATGTGGTGAGGCGTGTTTCCCACCAAAGGAGCTAAGATGGTGGAAATGTGTTTGGCAATGTTGTAGGTGACCGAGTTAATGCTGCTGTTAATCGGCCTGAGTGGGGCTCCTTCTTTGTGTATCTTGGGTAGAAGTGGAGAATAAAGCCCTCAACTCCTTCAGAGGAATAGCACCGAGCCACTGATACAGATATGTGGACGACACCTGGGTCAAAATCAAAAGCCAGGAAGTGCAAGCCTTCACAGAACACATCAACTCTGTGGACAGTAACATCAGGTTCACACGAGAAGATGTTCACAACAACAGTTTGGCCTTCCTGGACTGCGCTGTACACATTGAAGAGGACAGGAGCCTGCAGATTGGTGTTTACAGAAAACCCACACACACAGACCAATACCTACTGTTCGATTCCCACCACCCACTGGAGCACAAGCTAGGGGTCATGAGAACACTGCACCACAGAGCGGAAAACATACCAACAACCGCCCAAGCCAGAGAGAAGGAACAGAACCACCTGAAGGGGGCACTTACAGCCTGTGGATACCCTAAATGGGCTTTTGTGAAGACAGCCACAAAATCCAAGAAGAACAAAACTACAGGGGAGGAAAAGAAGGTCAAACGCAACAACATTGTGATTCCATACGTGTCTGGAGTATCAGAGAAACTCAGGAGGATTTTTAACAAACACAACATCCCTGTGTTTTTTAAACCCAAGAACACACTAACACAGATGCTGGTCCACCCCAAAGACCGCACACCCAAACACAAGAAAAGCAATCTAGTGTATGCGGTCCAATGCAGTGAGGAATGCACAGACCTGTATATTGGGGAGACTAAACAACCACGACACAAACGCATGGCTCAACACAGAAGGGCCAACTCCTCAGGTCAAGACTCTGCAGTCTACTTACATCTGAAGGACAGAGGACACTCGTTTGAGGACCACCAGGTGCACATTTTAGACAGAGAAGATGGATGGTTTGAAAGAGGTGTCAAGGAAGCATCTACACCAGGGTGGAGAAGCCGTCATTGAACAGGGGAGGGGGTCTACGCCACCACTTATCCCCCACTTACAATGCTGTCCTTTCATCACTTCCCAGGAAACTCAACAAACGTAACCTATTGGCCTCAGGTGAAGATACCAACGATGGTCGTTCAGTCTGGCCACAGGTAGTCTCAACGACTGTAACGACTGTCGTCACAGCAACAAGGAACACTAACGAACCAGCGGTATCGATGACCCGAGATAACGACCCCACTGAGGTTAAATAGCTGAGTTTCCCTGCCAGTCAGTCAGAACTGAAGAAGTCCTTTGGATGAGGGACGAAACGTCTTCCAGTAGCTTCAACCAAGTCCAGTTGCCCTTCATTTTAACCTTCGTTGGATAACTATGACCTGGATGACTGAGAATCTTCATAGACATCTACAAAGTTTCCTGATCTTTCTGTCAGAGACTCAGCTGACTCAACAAATAGATTCAGATCTGATCTTTCACCTTTAGTTTCTGCAGGAACTTCCTGACATCAGCAGGAGAGTACCGGTCCTGCTGGTCCTCCTGGTCCTGCTGGGTCAGGGAGAATCCCTTTCCTCTAAAGATGTCCCAGCTTCTGTGCCTGTAGTGATTTTGATGGCTACATTACTATGGACCTGTTCTAGATGTTTCCTGGTGACCGTTTCAACATGTCATCATCAGACATCTCTTCATTTTCACCAGAGTCCTCACACACTGACAGATGATCACGCACATCATCATGTTCTTGATGATCAGTGTTTTCCAAACTGTTGGGACACTCAGTCTGTTTATCATATCATCATTTAGCATAGAGGGGGGTCCCCGTCCCCGGGAGCCTGGCTGGGGCGGCCGGGGTCCCCGTCCCCGGGAGCCTGGCCGGGGCGGCGTACAGCTCCGGTAGGTTTGTTTCCGGAGCCGACGGCACCCCCGACACCCCCTCTCCAGCAGCATCAGCGGGCCGCTGCCCCCCCTTCTCTCTGGGCAGGAACCAATCAAATGCCCTTCCACACCACAACCAAGACACTTCATTAGAAATGACTATCGGACTGACCAGCGGGAGAATGGGAGTCTGTTTCGACCACATCACTAACTTTGGCTGTGCTGTCGAGAGAGAGAGAGAGAGAGAGAGAGAGAGACAGCGACAGAGAGAGAGAGACAGCGACAGAGAGAGAGAGACACACGTGTTCAGACAGACAGACAGAGACACAGGTTAGTCACTCACCACCTCAAAGTCTCTGTCTCTGATGTCACAGAAGGCGCTGCTGATGTCATGGCTGGAGAACCACTGATTGGCTCTCTGCTCTCGGTCCGTCCTGGGAGTCAGACGACACAGAGCCTCCGATAGGCTGACCTGCAGCTCGTAGTCTGAAACGCCAACATGTCTTAAAACACGGAGGAGACAACAGCTTCCTCCCTCTGGGACACATTATTACAACATAACATTCACTTCTACACAGCCGAGTCCTCCCACAGCACAGGCGAGAGACGCCGACAGGTGCATACAGGAAGTTAGTTAGTTTCTGTCAGCAGCTAAGTAAAGGTTATTCATCTAAAGACAAGAGGACAGAATCTCACCTCCAACTGTCAGAACGGCTGCTGCAACCTGGGCTCTGTCAGACAGACAGGGGGAGAGACAGCTCAACAGACAGACAGGAAGACAGGTGGACAGACGTGTGTACTCATTATGTACTGGGTGTGTCTTACAGTATCTGGGTCAGGTTCTGGTTGATCTGGATCAGTCTCCTCTGCTCTCTGCTCAGAGACTCCAGGATGCTGTTAAAGGTTCTGATGGCCTGAAACCAGAAACACCTTCAACTCAAACTGCAGACACGTTCCAGAGAGCAGGACACAGCACAGACCAGCAGAGACCAGTAAAAAGGAGTACAGACCAGCCGAGACCTGTACTAGTAGTAAGTAATATTTACTAATGTTTGAAGCTGTAGGATGAAGTGACTATATGGTACATTCCAAGCCACTTTTGTATAACCCTCTACTGGCCACCCGTTCTGTGTGCCTTAAGAAACACTACAGACACACACAAGTTCTAACAGGTTTTAAAGTTTAAAAATGACTCTGCATGATCCCTCTTTGCTCCAATATAATATGTGCAAGATTTAAAGGGAAATACAGAGATTTAAATCAAATCTGTAAAATGATTTTGTTTTAACAACTATTATGCGTTGTCACTCTAAGACATCAAAAGGTCCAGGATCAAAGGACTGCTGTGCTGTGGTTGCTGGATGCCTAAAAGAGATAAGGATCCAGGTGCGAGAAGGGAGGTGGTGATTGTCTGCAAGCACACGTAAATGGAAAAGAAGGGAGTATAGCCTAAAAAGTAAACATCTCTGATAAGGAGAAATAATGAGCATTCTGTGCCAGAAACAACCCTTTAAAGGGCTATTTTGGAAACCTCTAAGATTCTGTTAAGAGAAACATTTGAAATATGTTGAAATGTATTACAGAAGGGTCTTTAAAGCACTGTGGTTGATCTGAAATGATTGTGTGACCAGAAAACATGGCACTCTTTTTTAAAAATGTCATCTTGTTTGAGTTTTACTGGTGTCAAAATATGCATACATGTCTTAAAACAATACGATTTGACCTTCTGGGGGTTCTAATGGTGAATTTTAGGACTAGACCACAACAAAATAATATATAAAAACAACGTTGTGACTATGTTTTATAGTTAGTTAATTTTAAACAGACAAAATGTAAAATCATTAATACAAACTACCTAAACCAGTAAACAAAAGAGGCCACTAGTGGCAGCAGAGGATAAGAAAAAAATCAGAATGTGAAACGTGAACGTAGAATTTCCGCCTAAACGGGAGGAGATTGAGGATTATAAAAGACCCTGATGCCTGCTGGGATGTAAGTATGTAGGTTTTTGTCTTGTAATGGAATAAGATGCACCAATTTCTGACTCCAGTTAGTTTTTAGACACCAAATTGCTGTTTATTGTAGCAAGGTTTTGGGTTTTTAACTGGCCTAGCCCCGAAGTTTCCCTTCAACACAAGCCAGCACAGACAATCTGAGTCCAGCAGACCCCAGTAAAGAGTAGGACAGACCAGGACGAGTCAACAGAGAGCAGTTAATGGATGTGGTTACCTCCAATCTCAGTGGAAAGTGGATCTCTGGTTCCAGAGAGAACTGAGCCAACTGAAGGAGAACCACAGACAGCTGACTGACTGAGAGACAGACAGGTGAGTTTAGAGAAACAGACAGGCGACACAAAATGAAGAAATTCTGACTAAAGATGAATGAAACAAACCTGGAAGGGAAGCTTGGCCCAGCAGCTGGCAGACAGACAGACGGGCAGAGAGAGGGGGACAGTTCAACACACAGGTGCATCATATGTTGGAAAAGTCAGCGCCATACCATTGTTTTTTCAGTAACTTTATTCCAGCAGTGAAACTTTCATAGATTCTAGATTCATTAACAAAGTGAAATATTTCTTTTGTAGTTTTAATCTTGATAATTACGGAAATCCCGGAAATCAAACTCCAGATCTCAGAATATTAGAATGAAATGAGGACCTGAGAAGAGTCCACATTTCTGGAGTGGAGTCTGGAGTCATCAAGACCCACCAAGCACAGACCGGTCCAGGAAATGAGCTACTGTGTCAAACCAGTCCTGAACCACAGACATCGGAAGAGTCTTACCTGGGCTAAGGAAAAACTGAACTGGACCAGTGGTCCTCTTTTCAGATGAAATCCAGGTCCCAGAGTCTGGAGGACAAGTGGAGAGGTCCAGAAGTCCAGAGTGAAGTTTCCACAGTCTGTGATGATTGGGGTGTCCTCTGTTCTGGTCCACAGGGTTTTATCAAATCCAGAGTCAAAGCAGAGTCTACCAGGAGACTTTAGAGACTTGTTGTTTCATCTGCTGACAAGCTTTATGGAGATGCTGGTTTCCTTTTCCTGCAGGACTTGGCACCTGCCCACAGGACCAGAACCACTAGGAACTGGTGTATTACTGCGATTGGTTGGTCAGCTCACCTGACCCTCAAAGAATCTATGAGAGACACCAGACGAGCTGAACCGGCCACCATCAAAGAACCTGCAGGCATCATAAACAGGCTGCTCTGATGCAGCACCAAGAGCACAAACTAACCCTTACAGAACTTTTCAACTTTCAGAAGGTCCACATTTCTGTATTCTTCAGTCTTTACTGTAATATTTTGAGATCTGGAGTTTTGATTTCCAGGAGCTGTGAGCTGTAATCGAGATTAAAACAACAAAAGAAACATTTCACTTTATATGAATGAGTCTACAGAAGTTTCACTTTTTAACTTAAATTACTGAAAAAGAACTTGTCTCAGCTGTTATTTGAGCTCCGGCCGTACCTCAGCTGGAGGGGCATGTGAGTCCTGATTGGATGAACAGTGTGAGCTCACCTCTGTAGTGGGTACAAGGGGGTAAGCCAGATGTGAAACAGTGAAGCTGACCAAAGCCTGCATGGAAGGTTCAATTTTTTCCCCGAGTAAGACAATTAACCCCTCGTTAAGTGGCATGCGACCTCTGATCTACACTGAACAAAATTATAAAGGCAACCCTTTTGTTTTTGCCCCCATTCATCCTGAGCTGAACTCAAAGATCTAAGACTTTCTCTATGTACACAAAAGGCATATTTCTCTCAAATATTGTTCACAAATCTGTCAAAATCTGTGTTAGTGAGCACTTCTCCTTTGCCGAGATAATCCATCCACCTCACAGGTGTGGCATATCAAGATGCTGAGCAGACAGCATGGGGACTGCACAGGTGTGCTTTAGGCTGGCCACGATAAAAGGCCTTAGGCTGGCCATAATAAAAGGCCACTCCCAATTTATTGGTCCAAAACTGCTCTCCGTTGTATTGCTTCGTCCAGTAATATACTGTCTATGAGTGGGTACCACATTTTTATCTCAGCGTGTTTAACCAGCAGGAGACTTCATTTCCCAGCATGCTCCTCACCAGGAAGTAGTCACAGAACTTTTCAGCGAGGCTCAGCAGGGGGGCGGAGTTCTTCTGGAGGTCAGAGGTCAGCAGGTCACGAACGGCTTCGAACCACATCACCACCTGAACAAAAAGAGTTAGCAGTAGATTACTGGACTACAGACAACATTACTCCACAGATTCCCGTCACAGATTACCGCTGTACAGATTACTTCATGGATTACAGATTACTTTAGCGGTCAGTCCGTGGTCAACGAGTGCCTGCAGGTCGTGTCTGTTCTCTGACAGGATCTCTAAAGACTTCAACACAACCAGAACTCTGCTGAACCCAGATCCACACAGGTCCTGAAACAACAAAGAAACAGTAATCAGATTAAACAGGATTATTTTGTTACAACAACATGTACTGCAAGTCTGGATCAGTGAAGACCAGGACCCTGGACCACGACGCAGGATTTGAGCTTGTCCAGGTAACTTCGGGGTTAACCCTGCTAGGTTTTCAGCACCACGACGGTGGTTCACTTCTTACTGGGGTAGATCTCCATGGTAACTGATGCTGAACGGCTAACCTGCTCCGGATCAGGTTCTGATCCAGATCAGCTCTGTGAAACAGCCGCCTACTGACCAATCAGCTCTCTGGAAAATGACGTCAGCATCTGTAGGAAATCCCACAGAGAGTTTTACAGGCTGCTTTATGTTTGCAGCGGTGATGTGAAACTCCGGTCTATAGAGAAATGATCCTACAGAGACGGACCGAAAGCCTCAGGTCACTGCAGCCTGCAGGTTTTTACAGTACAGTCCGTCTCACACAGCCTGACGCAGCGTTACAATAAACGGGTTCCATTTTTCTTCTGTGAGGCTGAATATTAGGAGCAGTTTGGTAGGGGTGTTGAAATAAATGTAAATATGAACGCAGGCCGTTTATTTTAGGTTAGCAGCTTCTTTTATGACAGAGACCGGCCACCTGTTGCTACCTGGGCAGGTAATGAGGGGAGTTTCAGCAGCCCAGATGTTGAGATTCGGTCTTTCAGCCACTATCTCAACACATTTTATGGCATGAATGGATTTTCATTACTTTATGAAGTTAATTCAGAACAATGCTTGAAACACTGAGTGTGTTAAATAAATTAATATGATGTTTGAAGTTTTTTTAAAGTGAGGTGGATCGACCACTTATTCAGTGGCCGAGTCTTTTACATTTTCATAGAGCTCATAAAAACACATTATTACAGACTACGCCTGTTCATTCATTCATTCATCCACAGTGAGGGTGATTTTCTGTCTCCCTGCATGTCTCAGCTGCAGCTGAGCTATTTAGACTGTCGTATTTCTGATCAGCTGTTCTGGAAACCAAACCTGCTTTCTGAAACCATATTAAAGCCCTGAAGTCTAATCCTGATCCACAGAGACAGGAAGCGGGTTACCTTGGTGACCACCTGGTCCAGCCTGGTGAGGGTGATGCTGGTCAGTCCTTCGTAGTGCAGCACAGAGACCAGATGAGAAGAGTCTCTGCGGAGCAGACACTCCTCCACTTTCAGCTCCATCTAAAGAGAAACGCTCTACTTTACCAGGTGAACCAGACTCATTTCAATTTACACTCAGTGGATGACTGACAGACGTTTAGCCCATCAAACACCTCGGCTGCTGTACAGGAAGTCATCAACAACCACTGAGAACACTCTGCGCTACAACAGGTCCTCCCTGCCCCCCTCGTGATAAGCAGGTGGTCTAAAGTGAAAGAGGACCAAGTAAGGAGCAGAGAAGTCCAACATGCAGATGAACCTGAACACTCAGTGTGATCCTCCTGCAGACGGACAGCAGGTGGCGCTGCGGCTGCACTTCCCCTGTAATGTTTGTCCAGCACGATAACGCCGCATCTTCTGCAGTGGTCACCTGGCCTGAGCTTCTGGCCGCGGGTCCGAGCTCACCTTACCGACAGAGCTCACGCGCGTTCGTCACGAGGCTTTCGGGGAACGCGGCGCTGTTTGACCTGCTGTCTGTCTGGGTCCAGGTGTGAGGCTCACCTGTCCGCTGTGAGACTGGACCTGGACCGATAAGAAAAGAATCAATAAGTGTATTTACCATCGCAGCTCTCCTCTCCGTCTGCAGGAACACACGCGCGCGCGCACAGCTGCCGCTAATTAACTCATCAGCGCGTCCAGACCGCGCAGGCGCAGAGAGAGAGAGGTCAGCTTTAAACAGTTGATGATGGTCCGGTCCCAACGTCCCTCTCTGAGGCGCGTTCCCGGGAAGTCCGTGAGGGCTCAGGGCCGTCCCACTGTCAAATCGCCAAGTGCAAGAGGGCTCTCTCGCGGACAATTTTGAGCCCTTTATAGACCCTTTTCGTAAGTCCGCATTTCTGCAGAATTTTCTCAGTTCATGGCGGTATGACGTGAAAAACGGGGGTTACCAGGGGAAGCCCATGAAGCTAGAGACGTATCAACGCCTACGCTGATGTTAACATTGTTGAAAGTTTTCTTAACTTAAGATGCTGCACAGAACACATGAAGTCAGAGGAATGCAGTCACCTCATTTCACACCGAGTTTATTCAACTATTTCTTTTAGTTTCTGCTTAATGAGGCTGTTTGACCAACAATAGCGTTTTAATGATTACTGACAAATGTAGATTGACATTTCCCTCTCCTCGAAATCAGGCAACAACATGAAATAAAAAGTGTGCAACGTGTTTCAGCGTCGTCAGGGTGATAAAGTGGCAGAGTGCTGTCCCGTTCCTGTTTCAGCATTTTCAGCCCTCACAGCCTCTTAAACTCAATCACTTTCCAAGAGACGTCAGTAAAGTCTGTGAGGCTCCAGGGCTCGGGTCTCAGGGGGGACGTTGGGATTGGGCCGATCAGTGACAGGAAGTCCAGGGGCCTTTCTCATCACCCTAATTTGCGACTCCTCGCGGCGCATCTTAGTCCCTCCCACCCGCGAGCTCGAGGAGTGGAGGAAACGGGCCTTTAATGAAATGAGACGTCCTCTCCTCGGAGCATCATCATCTGTCCACTGTCAGAGCAGCTGCCAGCGCTAAAGGCTGCAGATCAGAAACATGTGAACATTAGAACAGTAGAAACATCTGGAGGTTCCAGTGAACATTAGAGCATCTGTCGGAAGCAGATTAGAGCAGCCTGATCATTCACTACAGAAACACAGTCCCTTTTTCTGGGAGTTCATTTCAGCCTGACGAGGTGAGAGTTTCATCAAATGACACAGCAACATTTATTTAACTGTCAGCACTGACCTGTGCAGACTACACGGGCTCCGATCAGGTCTGAAGGCTCTGGGTCATATTACAGCCTGAACTGGTGTGATGCGGATCGGCTGGGAGATTTGATCAGATTTAGAGCCCACACCTGCATGGGCATTTACCCCGCCTCCCCCGGTCCCTGGAGCTCTTCAGGTGGTTTCTTTCTTGTGTTGATGTACTGTGAGTGTTTCTTTAGAGAGTCATTTAAACGTTTCCATCCGTGCAGTAAAGTCACAGCAAATATCACGAGACCAAACAGAAACCTGCAGTGATGAACTGGACAGGACAGACAGGAAGCAGAATGAACCTTCCAGCTTCTATAATCCACGTTTAGACTCTGATTGGTGAGGAGGACGGCTGCTTTACTCCAGACAGGCTCTCTGGATGAACCTGGACTGTGTGTGAGAGCTAAACACAGCGTCACTGGGGAGGCGCTTCATCCAGCCGCTGTTCAGTGTTCATTTTTACATCCTGCTGCCCGTCCACATCACATCCACCAGCGTCACTGATATCAGAGGCTCTGTTCACTTTGCAGGCCTTAACGCTCAATTCTGATTTTTTCCCCAGATCCCATTGTTTTAGTTTGACAGATCACATTACTGTTTAAATGTGGCCCACATCAGACTCCGGATGAACTGTCCGCGGCCTGAAAGTGACCCGCATGCGCAGAAGAAGAACACGACGTCACGCAGCAGCAGTTGCTGCAGACTGCAGAAGTAAACAGGCAGCAGCAGAGGTTAGGTCCGGTTAGCTCGCGGGAGACTCCCGTTTTTCATTGTCCTCTCACGGTGTTCACAACTTTATGTTCATTTCATTACGGTTTTTGGCGCTGTACAACGCAACTGAACCATAACTCTCTCCCCGCTGTGTCCGCTCGGACAGGCAGCATGCACGTAAAGCTTGATTTCTACTCCTGCGTAGGGGCTACGCCGTAGGCTATGCACGTAGACGTGCATTTATACTTGTGCGTTCGTGTGTCCGCCAAACCGCAATTACACCCCCAAACACTAGTGGGCACTAGTGCTACAGCGTCCACTGTGTTAACTTCCGATTTAGCGCTCCGCTAACGTGAATGCGGCTGGTGTAGCCTTTTCAAATGTTACCGACCGAATGGATCACATTCGGATGGTGAAACGAGTCAATTCGCTCGGGTTGTGACGGTCAAATATATTGATCCACCGTGTTACAGCCGCCGTTTTGGCCGCGTAAAAGTTACTTCAAAGCACGGGCACTTCCTGTCGGCTTGGAGGCGTTGCGAGGCTGCCCAGCCGACCAATCACAGCGCTTACGGTCCGCGTCGACTCGATGTGTAGTTACGTTTTTGAGGAGGTGCACGTCAGGCGACTTCCACTTTAAATTGAAAAATTAAAAATATAAAAAATATATATTATAAACTTAAGTCAGCAGAGAGCTGAGTGAAATGACATTAAGGAGCGCGGTTAGAACAGAGCTTTATGAGGTGAAGGGCAGAAAGTTTGATCATTTTAAATAATTGATACAACTTTTCAGCCTCTTTTAAACGTCACAGCGGCTGAAAAAACTTCAGCAAAGGATACACCGATGTGTCCTCGCTTATAACTCCTCCAGCAAGCCTCCCCATCCTCGAGGTGTATTTTAGCATTGAGATCATAGATATAATATAGAGGTAGATGCCCTATTGGCCGCTGGGCACAAGAAATGCAGCCGCCATCTTGAACGTACTCCTAGTTGCACAGCTGAAGAAAGCGAGATGTACTAGTTGCAAACTGTCATGTTCTTGTTATTTAATGAACATTTATATAATTATATGTCAATTATATAATTGACATTATAGTGCTAGGCTAGCAGAGGCGACCTTAGTGTTAACCATAGACTGTATATAAGAAATGGACGTGGTCATCGTGGCGTCACTCGTTCGTTTGTGGGGCGCTGTTACTAAGCCTGGAGTTTGGCTGATCGGGGGCCGTCATGTCAAGTTTTTGCAACCAGGAAGTGCCCGAAAATGATATCAATCATATTTGGATGAGACGGCTCAGGTCGCCATGGTAGTGACTTGTCAATCAGCTTGTAGCCCCACCCTAAAGCCTCCCCTGCTTCCTGGTCTCTGTTCCTCTAAATGGGACCATAATTTACTAAAGAACATCATGCTGTGTTGAAGAAGACTTGAAACTAGCGACTGAGACCATAAACTCATCAAGAAAGTGTTTACTGAGGGAAAGACTTCTTTCTGCAGCTGGGGGAGTCGCCCCCTGCTGGCTGCCAGAGAGAACGCAGGTTTCAGGGACGTCCGCGTTCGCATCAGATCGCTGACCGGAAGCTTCCCGCTTGGTGTTAACGTTAGCGTTACCTCTTCATGTATGGTTTAAACTGCTAGTGCTAGCTAACATTACTTTTCCTCTGTGTGCAGTTTCATCCAATCTCATGTTTTATAGTGACACATTTGGAAACAAAATCATTCCAGTAGTAACTTAAGCATTAATACCTTACAGAGCAGATGTCGCATGGCTTCCTGTTTTCCGTAGCCAGTCTCGTTTCAGTGTTGAAGGGGAGAAGCTAGTTCCAAGATTGAACTTTGACCCATAAGATCGCGATGCTGGTGAATCATTTTGGGAAAGAGGGTGGGACTGACCTGTCACTCTGGAAGTGGTTTTAAGAGACAACAGAGTCCTTGAAGGCTCATAATGTTGGTAGATTTGAGCACCTTATATTAAAAGTGTAGTCATTGCATTGTGAGGTACATGTATATATTATTTTTACACCAAGATGAAGACATTGAAAGCCTCACAGGAGAGAGCTCTCGTGCAAAAAATACTGGAGAAAAAAGATCTCAATCAGCTTCGGGAATTCATGATGGAGAGTAAGTTCTGTACTAGATCTACCTTATTTACTGTGGATGTTTCCTGAGCTATAATCTTAGAATATTTTAGAAATATGTTAATCTGTTTTTTTACCCTAAATGCTAAATATCGCACACCATGAGTCATCTAACGTTCGTCCGTTTCATATTTTCTGTTAATTTAACTGCCGTGACTGAGCGAGAAAACAGCTGAATCTAACATTACAATCTGTGAATGGTTTCAGGTGTTTTCTTTGCTCCACACTGATGCAGAAATGCATTTGATTATCATACTGCATTCCCGGGGGCGGAGCTAGAGTCTCAGCAGAGCGGGGGCGGAGCTTCATCACTGGGCCCACTTGCTACAAAGTCATTTATACCAAGTTAGAAAGTCCACTGAGTCCGTCTCCGTCGCGGCTGCTGAAGCTGGTCACAGCCACTCTAGTCAATGCTTGTGCTCACACATCCTCTCTGGAGAGAATACGCAGCCATTTTCAAAATAAAATACCCTGTGCAGACTCGCGATCGTATATCAACAATAAACACAGTTAAACAGACATAAAAGAAACAATTTAACTACGTAGCTTACTTAATCATAGTAGAAGGTAGAAAAGCAAGCACTTATCACTAAATAAACAAAATCTAACCATGTCAGGAAAATCTGGCAGGCAAAACGCTCTTATTCTGAAATTCTCCCTGTGGGATCTGCAGATCAGAATGAAAGCGGGCCACGGAGAGGCGTGAGGAAGGTAGTAGAGGCACAAAAGGACATATTAAAAACAAGTCATTAACGTGGGGCACGCTGTGCTGCTGAGACGCATCCAGTGGAAGTTGAGGACGGAAATGAACCGCGGCGCACAGCGGTGTGAGTCCGGGGTGATAAATAGCAGCATTAGTCTGTCCCTCAGAATTCCCATGATGCATGGCGGTAAAATTAGCTAATCAGTCTCCTATTTGTTTGAAATACAAACTTTACTTTGTGAATTATGTTTTTTAAACTTGTCTGGTTAGAATCTAGTGTTTTTGTTGGTCATTGTCATTCTT